GTTCGGTACTTGGTCTGGGTGGGAACTCCTGCGGCCTACCCCGGTTGATGGCATTTTTCTGATATGATCGTGAGCTGGCGCCAGTTACTGGTTTGACACTGAGACGGTTCACTGTGGTTGGATTTTTTTAACTTGATGTGACAAAGCAGTCGTCTGGTTCGGTATCAGGTCTGGGACCGGTACCAGTTGCTGCGGGGCGGTCATCGGCACCATCTAGGAACAGCTTGCAGCGACACGGCACTGCTATTTTGGTAGCGATACTGGGTTGAAATTCTTGACCTGTTGGTACGGCATTGGGCTGGGGGCTGCTGTCGTTGCTCCCGTTCGATGGTGCTGGGTGGTACTATCAACAGCAGGGTTGAAACTCCTAATTTCGGTACGGCCATTGGTGTGATTGTTCATTCCGGCACTGGGATGATTCACCTATGCGCTGTGTCTCGATTCCATGGTACGACTTACGGTAATTTCATAACCACAGGTGCAAATCAACCTTCTGGCGGTTGCGACGTTCCTCGACGCACGAGTGGTAATCCACGACCACTGTATCTAGAGCCTGGGTGCCAGTGGGGCTAAAATTGTAAGATGAGAAATATTCTGAAGCGCAGGCCTCTGCCAGAACTGAAGGAGAGGGCACATCCCGTTTCGGAAGGTACCACGCGAAGGAGGCTGGGGGGGGTTTCTCTTGGCCAGACACACAACCTGGGGGAATATAGTCCTAGCAGGAAAATGGGGAGGGATTCGGCGTGCCAGGCGTTCGCAGCATACCCGAGTGAGGTGCGACAGCCATGTCTGAGGAGTGGGGGTGCGACTGTGGAGGTGTGCCCGGCGTTCTTGGCATTCGCTTGTGGAACACTGTATGATGTCAGACCGTTAGCTGCGCTGCTCCGCTTCCCGCGAGGAGACTGTGAGCGAAGAGGGTGGACCGAGAGCAATGGCGTTGGTGAAGAGTGACCCTGTGGGGGGATGATTCGTCGAGCCAGCAACGAAGGGAGTGTAAGTGACGCGAACAGGGACTTTATAGACGGTGAGAGAGTGAGAGAGATCTTGAGCTCACACGATGGCGTGCGCTGCGTGTCACTTCAGGGGAACGTGCTCCTAGACGAGAAAGGGCGAAAAGGGAGAACTTCAAGGTGCTACATGTCAAGGAAGGGGAAACAAAGCGGTGGCCCGGTATTTGCAGAGAGAGAGTTCATCGCCGCCCATGAGACCAGCCAAACGGGCTGGTAACGAGATCTGATGAGCACAGTGGCGAGAGACCAGCCAAACGGTAACGAGATCTGACAAGTTCAGCGGTGAGAGACCAGCCAAACGAGCTGGCAATGAGAACTGACAAGCGCAGTGGAGAGAGAGCAGCTGAGAGCGCTGGTAGTGAGATCTGGCGAGCACAGGGAGACTACTGGTTACGGGGTTGGATATTGCCGCCAAAGATAAACCAGGAAACGGAGCCCCTATACGCGCAAGCGCGTTCGAGCATACTGGTCAGCGCTCGGATGTGCCGCCTGCTGATGAGAGGAGCAGGATCACGGCAATACTATGGGGAGAGATCCCCTGGCAAGTCACGATGGGTGCATGTAGGGAGGACGACCTGTCTTGAGTGAGCATTGAGTCTCTTCGTCCCCTCAGCTGGGGAATCATTGTAGTTGCCAGCTAAGGGATGGGAATGTAAGAGTTCAGCAGGAACAGCGCAGCGGCGAGACTTTGATACGATCGCCTGGTATTCGCCGAGATTCGCTACCACGTCTCTCACACTACATTGGGCAGTGGCTGATAATGCCTGTTGATTCACGTGTTACCATACCCCAATTGGAGAACACCCCTAAATGCGACGGGCAGCTGTGGTACGAACTCGGTTGGGTCCTGCATGGGACGCTTTCCGGGAAGAGCTTGGTCCTACGCAGTAAGCCTGTGAGAGAACGAATGCAGAAGACAAGAGGTAAGCCGAGGGGAACGTGTGTAGATGACGGGACTTCGGCTAAGGGGAACCAGAACCATAATATGCGCCGGCGCATACGGGACGGTAGAGACCCAGAACAAGCGAGATTTGGGTGGGTGAGCTGAGGAGAGAGAGAGGGATTGAAGGGTACTTATGGAAAGGTAGAGGGCCGAGTGCGCTGAGTGAGAGAGAGTGTGTTGTTAGAATGAACGAGCCACTTGAAAGAGGAGTGCGTTGAGAGAGTACCAGTGAGAGGTCCACTCGAGAGAGAGAGGGTGCACCGTTCATGTGTGTGCGAGGGAAGAGCGTATTTCCTTATTAATTTAATTATTCATTCATTCAGAGATCGAGCTTACTAAAATTTGAGTGTGCTGAATGGCTTATGGGAATACTCAAGGCGGAGCCCGCTTATTGGCTCACTGCTAAATTTGAGCCTGATCTTTGGTATGCAAAACGGAGCTGCTGATTGCCTTGCTGGCACAAAAAGAAAAAAAAAAAAGGGGGGGGGGGGAGAATTGAGAGAGAGAGAGAGAGAGAGAGAGAGAGAGAGAGAGAGAGAGAGAGAGAGAGAGAGAGAGAGAGAGAGAGAGAAAGAAAGAAAAAAAAAAAAAAAAAAAAAGGGGGGGGGGGGGGAATCTTCTGATTGGCGAACAGATACTCCCGAATCAGGTCAGTGGATTGATTTGTCAACTTGTTCATAGTCGGGTCGCTAATTGTCTATCGAGCCGTTGATTGGTTCACCGCCATGCTTAAAATCGAGCTTGCTGAACGAAAGAGAGAGACAGAGGGAGAGAAACTGTGAGATCGCGTGCGTGGAAGAGAACAGTAGGGAGTAGGGTGCTTCAGCATAGAAGGGAGAGCTAACCACCTGGTATGCCAATTGTGTGTCAATAGCCTCCGCTTCTGATGAAGTCGTCCTTTCAGAGGGATCATCTTGTATGTTGTGCAAAATCATTGGGTCGATCACTGCTGTGAACCTATGTGAAAAATTACGAGTTTATAGTGCTCTCACTGGTGATCAGTTTTCTTTGCCCAGAATAACCCTACTGTCCCTGTTGGTTATAGTGTGAGCAAAACTCAGTTTCTCTTCTTGTGGATCTGAATTCTGCAACCTCGACGTTGTCCCAAATTTGATCGTGTTCACAGTTTGGCTGACTTTGAAATTCTATTTTATTTTATTTTATTTATTTCGGATTAACAGAAAGCGCCTTCGAAACAGGCTCAAAAGGGTGGGGTCGTGCCAGGCAAACTAAGCCCTACTCCCTGTTGCGCTGTTGCGGACCCCTGAAGTGGGCGCAGTGGGTGACAGACGATGTTGCCCCAGACTTCAGCAGACCAACGGGCTCCCCTCACTGGGTTTCCTCACAACGTATCCAGTTCAAGTCAGCTCAGTCCATGGGAAGGCCCACGACAGACCAAATCTCGGTCGGCCACGGCAGGGCCTGGCAGGAGAGGGTCAGGACTCAGGACTGATGTCGGAGAGACAGGCAGATGCACAAAAGGTAGGGCAGCTCCAGGACCTGCCTCTTCGATTCTGCATTACTAGAAGTGTGAACAGTTCCTGGCAAGAGAGTAGTCGACAGCGCTCAGCGCCATAGCTGTGGCGTGGCACAAAAGAAGTGAGGGAGAGCAACGAGGACATTAAGAGAGCGATCACAGAATCCCTGCGCAGCAGCAAGTAGCAGTGAGAGAGAGAGAGAGAGAGAGAGAGCTGTCTCTTATACACATCTAGATGTGTATAAGAGACAGGCATACTTGCGCCGCAGGGATGCTCCAACCCAAACCCCCCATGCCCCTCCCCCCCCCCCAAAAGTTTCTCAGCGGATTTGGGATGTACTCAGCAAGCGCAGTAAGGCCTGTCTCTTATACACATCTAGATGTGTATAAGAGACAGCCCCAACACCCTCGTAGCCCCGAAATACCCCCTATAGCCCCCCTATACCCCCACATACCACCCTATACCCCACTCCTAACCCCCCATTTCCCCCCCCCCCCCCCCAAAGTTTCTCAGCGGATTTGGGATGTACTCAGCAAGCGCAGTACAGCTTCCAACTCAGATCTGAAAGAAAATCAGTGGATGGCTGTTTTCTGACTGGTCGGCGGTCGGCCCTACTGGTCCTCTGCAAAACAGTCGGCGGTCGGGGTCGGCGGAAGGCCGGTATGCAACCATGAGTTTGAAGTAATAAAGGCGGGTGTGCAAGATCTCGATCAAAGTTAGCAGATGGTCTGCACACAGGTCAGCATCTGCTGCTGATGTATGACTTGCATGAGACGAATTTGAAGCAGCACAGACGAAAATCACAAGATGTCCACCTATTTTAACCTGTCGTATGGCATACCACCGGATCGCTAGATGAGGACCATTGCAGGTTCCCATTCGGCAGGCATGAGGAGAGCACCTCTTGCTTGGGTGCATTTTGGCAATGCATCTTTCCGTGCATATATACGGGGTGTGAACCGATAGTCTGTAGAGTTTCAATCTGGTGTGAGTGAGTGACAGTCTGCTTTGATTTTCGTCACAGGTACTGTCGGGCAGTCGTTGATGCTTCACCACAGCCGGGGTTAAGGTGGGTTATCACTTACAGTGTAATCAGTTAGGGGATTCTGCAGACGGTTGAGGGTTCACCCTCCTGACGAGTCGGCGAAACTCCGACGAAACAGTTTGTCACAGCCCCTCTTTTGTTGTCCTCTTCTCCCTCTCTGCCTACGGTTTACCGGGCAGCTCTGTTTGTCGATATATATATACTAAATAACAATCGTAACATCAAATATCCCCAAGCAACAGGAGGCAGACATATGTAATCGTTCACAACAGGGGTGCCTTTTCTCCCTCTTGCTTTTTCCCTCCACTCCATCACTGGATTTTTGTGAACAGAACATGTCGTTCGCATAGCACATTGTCAGTAAACAGCCCATGTGGCCTAATGGCAGCCAGAGCCAGAGCTACAGCCATCTGACAGCCAGAGCTACAGCCATCTGACAGCCACAGCTACAGTCATCTGACAGACAGAACTACAGTCATCTGACAGCCAGAGCAGGGTATGTATACATTATGTCTTCCTCTTACCATTGTCAGATTTCCGAGTGACACATGTCGAAGCATTATGTTTTCAAGAACTAACTGTGGGAATAAAATGCCGATCACCATCCCAATTGCAATCCCCACGAAGCACGCAAGGACTGGTGCAAACTTTCTGATCCCTTTCCTAGGGCCTCTGCAACACAACACAAAAGACACCAATGCTCAGTATCTTGCTCATCATCATACACAAAAGCTGACGTTCACGAAGATAGGGGCTGCTTTTTTCTCCTTTCCTAGACATGAAAATCAAGTGACAAGCAGATCTTTTGGATTGAACAGTGATGACCATCTTTATCCACAAAACAGCTCTGCCTTGCGAGACTAAGGATAATGGGACAAGCATGCAAAGCAGGTGCCAGGTACAGTGGGAAGTGGCCAAAAATACCAGACAATCATGGACACTGCAGTCGCATCGCACCTGGCAAGGCACATCATTCAGTCCAAGAATATAAATCAAGCCACAGGCTGGGCAACAGAATGAACAAGAAAAGCCGACAGAGAGGTTTGGGGAAGAAGTTTGCAACCCTAGCATTGCTGAGTTGTTGGCTATGTAACTTACCTGGTTACTGTGGCTTGGCTATGTGGCCTGGATATGGGGGTTCACTGACCATATGGCTTGGCTATTTAACTTTCCTGGCTAAAGGCTCAGGTATGTCGCTCAACGGACGATGTAGCTCACCATACGTCTTGGTCGTCTTTGTGGCTAGCTATATGTCTTCGCTGGCTAAGCGGCTTGCCTATGTGTGCAATGGCTGGTTGCGTGGCCTGACTATGCGGCTTGACTGACTAAGAGACTTGGCTATGTCGATTGGCTTGCTATGGGGCACAGCTGGCTGTGTGCACTGGCTCAATTTGGCTGGCTAGTTGGCTAGGCTCTGTGTCTTACCTATGTGGGTTTGCTAGCTATGTCTCTAGGCTATGTGGCTTAGCTCCCTACCTGGCTTCATTATGTGCTCTGGCTGGCTATGTCGCTTTCCTTACTAAGTGGCTATGTGGCTAGCTATGTGGCTCGCCTTACTAAGTGGCTATGTGGCTTGCTGTACTAAGTGGTTTGGCTGGCCCTTTGGCTTGCCTGACTAGGTAGTTAGGCTGGCCCTGTGGCTTGCCTGTTTGGCTGGCTGTGTGACTTTTTGACTTGGAGGTGTATGAACCTTTGCTGCCCACGTGGCTTGGCCGGGTAGGTAGTCTGGCTGGTTTTGTGGCTTGGCTGGCTATATGCCTTCGTGAAACTGACAACGGGTGTATCAAGCACGGTACTTCGACTTTTAAGAGCACCAGTGTGCTGCTATTGTCCCGGAAAGTGGGAGCAATATGTATGCGCATTGATGACAAGGGCTGAGCAACAACACAGCCAACAATGCTGGTCCATTCCCCAAGATTGGTGATCTTTGGGAGATTGTACAAGGTTGCAAGATTATCTCCAGGATTGATCTGCACTTTCTGAAGAGCCAATGGCATCCGTTTGAGGTGGAGCCTGCAGGTGAGCAGGACTGCACCACATATGGAATCTGTGATTTTAACTTCTGTCAGTTGGGCAATAAATGAACCTGCAACATTTCAGCGTGGCATGAACAGTCTGTTCAGGGAGTATCTTGTCCAGCTCATCGTGCTGTACTTGAACATTCTTTGCATTCAGCCACAACTACTAAAAGATGTACAACGACATCTCAGGAAGGTGCTTAATGCACTGAACAGAAGCAAGTACATGATCGACCCAAAGAAGAGGGAGTTTGGGAAGAGCGATTTCTTGTACCTTCCCCATGTGATTGATAGGCCTGGTAAACAGCTAGGTTCAAAGCGCGCTTCCCATTTTCGGGTTGTAGAACAGTTTTAGGTAATGCCTTTTTGGTTCACCAAACACCTAAAAGAAAAGAGTTTAAAGTTTAAACAAATCATTGAAAATGTGAAATATTTTCACTAAACCCATAATCCAATATTTATACTTATCTCCATTATCCCAAATCGTCGGAATCGTGATGAGTACGAGTAAGTTTCACACCTCATGGTGCTTTTACTTTAGATTAGAATTAGAAAAGAAAAGAAAAGAAAAGAGTCCTTCAGGACATCCGTTAAAACTGGAATGAGACAGAGAAGATTAGCATGGCCCCTGGTCCCCTGCGCAAAAAAAAAAAAAAAAAAAAAAAAAAGCACAGAAAAGAAAAAGAAAAA